CTTCAATTATTCCATCATTAATTCACTCACTCACTCATTCATTCACTCACTCATTCTTTCAATTATTCCTTCATTAATTCACTCACTCATTCCCTTCCATTATTCCTTCATTAATTCACTCACTCATTCATTAATTCACTCACTCATTCTTTCAATTATTCCTTCATTAATTCACTCATTCATTCATTCACTCACTCATTCCTTCCTTCACTCATTCATTCATTCATTCATTCACTCATCGGTTCACGCACTCACTAATGGACTCAGTGCTCCACCCGTGCTGGGTGCAGAGGCTGTGACGGGAACGGGGAGGGAGTGGGGGGCGCCCTGGTCTCCCGGGGACCTACCTTCAGCTTGTGCTCCCGCTCTTTCGTGACCTTGGTGAGCAGCTTGGCCTTCTGCCGAGTCAGAGCCTCGACCAGCGCGTCACACTGAGCGACCAGGCAGGCTTCATAGTCCAGCCCGTTCTCCTGGGGGAGCAGAGAGGGTTAGGGGAGGCGTGCTGAGGTCTGGCGGGTGCTAGACACACGGACTCGCGTCCTGGAGTTACCGAGACGCGATGAAACTGGAAACCGAGTAGATATGAACTGGGGGAGAGGAGCTGTGAATTGCGGCACATCTCTCTGGCGGAACAGTCCTTAGTCATTCAAACCTTGTTCAGAGAGTTTTTATCATCACAGGAAATCCTCATGGGGGCGGGGGAACAGGCTGCAAGTTGCGTTCTGCGTAATCCCGTCCTATTGCGTGTGCACATGTGTCCCAAGCAGCCATCCCTGACTTAGTCCCTCAGTCCCTTTCCTCCATCCTGACGCTGCTGCTTTCCAGGGCCACCACGTGTATGTTCCTCCACGTGCACACTCACACGGAGCACACGCGTGTGCACTCTCCCTCACACTCCGAGCTCCTGAGGCCAGACACGGTACCTGAGGGGTCTGCATCTGGCTCAGAATGTGACATAGCAAGAGTGCTACAAATACACTTGCTTAGGCCTGGCCAGTGTTGCTCAGTGGTTGAGCATCGACCTAGGAACCAGGAGGTCACGGTTCAATTCCCGGTTGGGTTGAGGGCTCCATCCCCAGTAGGGGGTGTGCAGGAGGCAGCCAATCCATGGTTCTCTCTCATCATTGATGTTTCTATCTCTCTCCCCCTCTCCCTTCCTCTCTGAAGTCAATAAAATATATTTTTTAAAAATACCCTTATTTACTAAATAACACGTTTACATTTGCATGCATTGATGACATGGGTACCCAACACCCTGGACAGGCTGACACCGCGTAGGATGCCGTGGCCATGCAGGGGGTGCACGACTTCTCTCCAGCTCTTTCTACGATCCTCTCTCACTGAGCTGATGCGAAATCTCCTGCCCGTATCAAGTGCCGCGTGAGCGTGGGTGGACCAAGTGTGGTGTCTGCAGTGTCTGAGGCTGCAGGACAAGCCAGCCTCCTCGCGCGCATCCCTGAACACGTGCTCGCCACACGCGGCCCTCTCCTCTGAGCTTGCTGCACCCCCTTGCTGCGCCCCCCCGCGCTCCCGGCGCTGCGGCCGGCTCACCTGGATCTGCTGCAGAATGTTCTTCAGCTGCACCAGGAACTCCTTCGCCTCCTTCGCCTTGTCGGAAACGCCATTCAACGCCTGGGACAGCTGGGCCTACACCGGAGTCACAGGTTGAAGAGGAGAAGGAGGGGTTAGAGGAAAACAGTTTGCACTTCATTGTGAAGACTTGTGTGTAGCCCGGCTGGCGTGGCTCAGTGGTTGAGCATGGACCTATGAACCAGGAGGTCACGGTTCGAGTCCTGGTCAGGGCACATGCCCGGGTTGCGGGCTCCATCCCCAGTGTGGGGCGTGCAAGAGGCAGCCGATCCATGATTCTCTCTCACTGATGTTTCTATCTCTCTCTCCCTCTCCCTTCCTCTCTGAAACCAATACAAATATATTTAAAATAAAGTTATCAGCACATGTTTTTCTGCAGGAAACCAGGTCACGGAGGTTAAATAAGCATTTTATGCACCCTGTGCTTTCCCGCAGGTGGAGTGGTTTTAAGTGTAAGAACTTGAAAAATAATAACACACACTGGTTACTGCGGGGCAGGTACTGTGCTAGAGGCTACACACACAGAATCACACTTACTCCTTACAACAATGGTCGGAATTAGGTATTATTATCCAGCGGGCTTTAAGCTGTGCCTAAAGCTTATAGAATTATAGGCGCTGAGACTTGGAGGTAGGTCTATGTAACTATACAGCAGGGCGTCTTATCAGAAACACTATTGACATTTGGGACTACATCATTGTTTGGGGGAGGTGACCTGTGTACTACAGGAAGATTGGCCCGGCTGGAGTGGCTCCGTGGTTGAGTGTTGACCTATGAACCGGGAGGTCGAGGTTCAATTCCTGGTCAGGGCACAAGCCCGGGTTGCAGGCTCCATCTCCAGGAATCTAGTGGACAGAGGCCAGGGAGGCAGCTAATCTTTTTTAAAAATATATTTTCATTGATTTCAGAGAGGAAAAGTGAGGGAGAGAAAGATAGAAGCATCAATGATGAGAGAGAATCATCGATCGGCTGCCTCCTGCACGCATCCCACACTGGGGATCGAGCCTGCAAACCAGGCATATGCCCTCGACTGGAATTGAACCTGCGACCCTTCAGTCCGCAGGCTGATGCTCCATTCACTGAGCCAGACCAGCTAGGGCGCTAATCTTTTAAAAATATATATATTTTTAATTGATTTCAGAGAGGAAGGGAGAGGAATAGAGAGATGGAAACATCAAGGATGAGAGAGAATCATCGATCGGCTGCCTCCTGCCTTTTTTTTTAAAATATATTTTATTGATTTTTTACAGAGAGGAAGGGAGAGAGATAGAGAGTTAGAAACATCAATGAGAGAGAAACATCAATCAGCTGCCTCCTGCACACTCCCTACTGGGGATGTGCCCGCAACCAAGGTACATGCCCTTGACCGGAATCGAACCTGGGACCCTTCAGTCTGCAGGCTGACGCTCTATCCACTGAGCCAAACCAGTTTCAGCTTCCTGCCTTTTTAAGATGTGAAACATTTACTGGAAAGAAGACGCTGAATAATAAGTGTCCACATTTGCAGCTGCTGTCGGGGACCCTGAACGAGGGTCTCTAACTCTGCCAGGCCTGACTCACTGACCTCAGGGGCCTGAGAGTCCAGTTACTCAGCTGAGCCTTTGGATGAGCCATGAAGATGCATGTTCCTTCCAAGAACTGACCCTGCGCCTGCCTTGGGGCCATAATCAAGCGCCTGACCTGATTGGCAGCCACCAGGGAGCTCCAGCCAATAGCCTAAGAGGCTGTTCCATTCCCACTGGAAGGTGGCATCCCAGGCAAGTGCTGGGGAGGGAGGCTGGGGCAGCCTGCAGATGCCAGTGGGCCTCGCTGTCTTACTCAGAGCCTGCTCTGTTATGGCACCACGCTCCCCGGGGAAAAGGACGCAGCCTTCTTCAAACACGGTGCCTGGGGGTGGAAAGTGCTGGAGACTAACTAACAGAGGAGGGAAATTGCTGCTCTGGAAGCCGGTGGGAGTTTGGCTCTGGAGGGAATAGTGTGTCCCTTCACTGAGGGCTGGGATCGAATCCTCCCGCCTTCAGAGACAGTTAACCAAGTGCAAGACTTGGGACATTTTCCCGCGCGCAGGCGTTAACACTTGAACTTAAAAACAAACTTTATCGAGGGGGGAAGGGGCGCTGGACGCTAGTACCACCAAGGTAACTCATTAGCCCTCGCCAGTTGGGGTCTGTGGTTAGAGTGTGGGCCTGCGAACTGAAGGGTCCCGGGTTCGATTCCGGTCAAGGGCACGTGCCCGGGTTGCGGGCTGGATCCCCAGTGAGGGGTGTGCAGGAGGCAGCCGATCCATGACTCTCATCATGGATGTTTGTATCTCTCTTTCCCTCTCCCTTCCTTTCTGAAATCAATAAAAATACATGTTTTTGTAACTTATTAGTCAACTTAAGGCGTGAAAAAAAAGCACACTTCTGCATTCTGGGTGCCCTGTATGTAGAGTCATCTTTCCTACTACGTCATCTTTCCATGCCCTTCCCATCTCCAACACCCAGCTCAGAGCACCTGGAGTTCATTGAAGTGTTTGTCCAATGACAGATGAGAGAACAAGGGAATGAATGAATTAATGAGATCATCCCTGCATGAATGAATGAATGAATGCATGAATAAATAAGGTCGGTCCCAAGTGAATGAATGAGTGAATGCATGCATGAATAAATGAGGTCGGTCCCGAGTGAATGAATGAATGAGGTCAGTCCTCTTGACCCTCTGGCCAGCCCTTGCCAGTTCTCCAGGAGAGAGGCCACGCCCCCCGCCCTGGGTGCCCCCCGCCGCACCCCGCGCCGGGGGAACTCACCCAC